AATGAGTGCAAGTGTAGAGCTTGAGCAATCTCTTCCGGCTTTGGGTCTCTTTCTGTAACGTTGAAAGGTAGTTGATTGAGATCGGGAATTCTCAAGAGTCGGGAAATATGAAGCAATGGTGTAAAGGATCAAAGAACTGAAAGAGCACCTTCACCATGTCCTCATATGTGTTGGAGGTGACCATGTCTCTCGGTGAATGGAGAGTTTTCAGGAATCCTTGAGGCTAGCTCCTTAAGTTTTGGAGGGATCCTTACAAGATTGACTTGAATAGTTTTCCTGCGAAGAGAATCCATATCCTACAAAACAAGAACAAAGATGAATCCAAAAATCCTTGAAATGGTTAGTGAATGTATGATGTTATGATGTTCATGATGTTATGTACAAGTATGTATATACAAACAAAGCAAACAAGTCCTTAGATTTAGGCTTGCATGGAGTTTTATAGGTAAGTACCCTCTTGAAGTTTAGTTGGCTCAAACATGTCCTAGTAATAGTAACCGGGTTCTAAGGAGCTCAATATCACTGTTTTGTTTCCTTGGTCATTGTTTCAGCACAAGCCTCTTTAATGGCGACCGAAATATCCCAAAAAACCAAACCTCAATGAGTGTAGTATCAAGTACCTACCAACTTCGGATTGCACCAAAGACGGTCATCTCACTATATCCTAAAGGCCAAGTTGGTCAAGTAAAGGTTCTAAAAGTTCATTAGTGCTTCATGACATCACTCAGCGGCCCTGTATTCTCTTTGATTGACTCAAAGGCAATCAATACCCACAAATATGTCGCACTAACATAGCTATTGCTTAGACCATGTCGGTATACCCTGCATAGTTTCCACAATGTATTGCTACTTACCTATAATGTATCCCAAATCCGGGTAGAGGATTCAAACCCAAACAAAGAACCATAATATAAAGCATACAATTCAGACAATGAAAGCAAATAAATGTGATCTAGCCCTAAGGTAACACCACTTTTAGAATTTTTCCCAATAGAGTCGCCAGTTCTGTGATATGGTGGAAGAACTGACTCGGATGTTTGCGTTTGATCGCAATTGTACGGATAGCAAGAGTCGCTATCGACTTTTCTTTTATCCAAAAGGAAAGGTAAAAAAGCACAGGAAAGACCTTTGAGATTATTTCTTGAGTTCGGGGGGTAGATTATGAAAAGGGAAGGTGTTAGCACCCCTTTCATCCATGGTTTTCCATGGGCTCTTAGTTGCTTGCTAGATCACTTGCTTTTGTTTGAATGTGCTTGTGGTGTGTATTTTGAAAGTATTTTAAAAATGTCTTTGCAATGGTTCTCGTTTCTATAAGAACGTGTACAAAGTGTTGTTTCGAAAAATAGTTCAAAGAAGTGTTTGTGTAGTGTGTTTTTGAAAGTGATTTTGAAAAAATGTTTTGTAATGGTTCTCATCTCTATAAGAATGTATACAAAGTGTTTTTTCTTTTGAAAATGTTTCAAGATGAAAGTGTTGGTGTAAAAATGTTTTTATCATGAGCAAGAGAACAACTAGGAGCGAATCTACCTACTCGAAAGGTCTTAGATGTTCTTTTCTTCCTCCTTTAGATGTTGCTATCTTACCATTAATTTGGTAAGAAGCCCCATCGTTGAATGTGAAGGGACAGGCGCAGGACGTTTGTACAGTCATAGAAGGAAACTTATGAGACGCTTTAGCAATTTTTCGTAAGGGACTAGATCGTTTTACCGAAGGTAACATCGAGGGTCATCGAGGGACTACGATCCTTTTTTTATCAGATGGTCTTTGCTAAAGCGTCCCCTATTCAAGGGAAGTGACTGTTTTCCGAAGCAATAGAGCGAGATTATCCTAGAGGTGCATGTGTGAATGGTGTGTTTGATTGCATGCGTTTAGTCTTTGATTAGGGTGGTCTACTTGTTAGTTTTATCTTACATACACTCTAATTACTAACATTTATGAAAGCAAAAATACGGAAAATAAAGGTCCTTCGCTATTATATGCTTTTTGAGGGATGGGGTATATAAGTGTACAAGTGGGGGTTGCAAAAAATAAAATTCTTAATTATTACAACTAAATTGAATGAAAATAAAAGCAAAAGATCAAAAGAAATATCAAAATTTATGTTGTCTGGTCTGACACGGGCCGTGTCCTATGACACGGGCGCCCGTGTCAGCTTTTGTAATGGTCCATGTGCATTTTTTCCTTTTTTGTACCAGCTAAACTGACACGGGTCGTGTCCAGTGACACGGGCACCCGTGTCAGCTCCTGACCTGCATTTTTGTTAGTGTAAAGTTCCATTATGGCTGACACGGCCGTGTCCTGTGACACGGGCACCCGTATCAGCCCATGACCTGCATTTTCGTGAGATCTTTTCAAACAGAGGAGCTGACACGACCATGTTGTGTGACACGGGCACCCGCGTCAGCCCCTGTCTTGGCTCTTTTTTACTGAGTTTTCCCTTTTTAATTTATCTTTTACATATCTTTTGGACACAAACAGAAAATGATGTATGGAAAAAGATATTACAGTTTGAAGAAAAATATACCTCTTGAAGCGAAACTTTAGAATACGTATGGATATCTCCGGATGCAAAGTGATGAATGGCCGAACTCCTCTTTAGAGCTACTCCAATCCTTGCTCTGTATGACCAAGTTCCAGAATCGCTCCAACCCATTCAAAGGTGTAAAGTACTGTTTTTTTTTTGTTTATGCTTGGAAGGTGATGATAAAGGTGTTACAGAAACTGTTCTTATGTTAGAATAATCTCCATGTGATGTATATGAGGTATTTGGGTAGTTGGTTTAGGGGAAAGTTTGCAAGGTTGTACAACAATGGATTGAGGATTTTTTCTGTTTTTGTGAGTGAAAACAGAGTTGAAGATGAGCAAAGTTTTTATGGATGAACTGAGTTTTATGAAATGAGCTGGGTTTTATGAATGAGCAGCGTTTAACAAAAGTTCTGTTTTTCTCCTCTCTCTTTTTCTCTCCCAAAAAATCCCCCTATGTCTTATGAAACAGTCTCTTTTGTAGCTTCTTGACTAAGGTTTATGAGGGAAACAAAATAAGTTATTTTGAAATGTCTTTGCCTACTGCTTTGATACTTTTCCACACAATTTTCTTTTGCCATTTTGGTGCAATTTTGTGACTGTTATGATGCAGGTTGGAGCAGAATGCATAGAGCAGTTTTTGACTGGTTTTGTGGACATATTTTGGATTGTATAGGACAGTAATGTAGGTTTTGTGACAGGTTTGTGGTGCAGCATGGCACAAGGTTTTGTAGGACAGCAAATGAGCAGGGGTTTGGAGTGTTGTGGCAATGTATAGAAGTAGCATATCATTTTTTGCTCAGCAATAACTTGGACAACATAGTTTGTAGCATGAAACAAGTTTGGTTTGTGGAGCAATTTATGCATATTGTATCAAAGATAAAGCATTGTGGCAAGGTTTTGAATCAAAGGAAAAAAGTCCAAGCAATACAAAGTTTAGGATTTGTAAACTTGCAAAAATTCCACTTTGTAATAACTTGAATTATTTGTAACATCTTGAATTATTTTGAATTGTAGTGACAAGGTGTCATGAAGCAATGAACTTAACTTAGAAAAATTTCCAAGTCTTGCAAAAATTGGATTTTTGACTTTCTTGATTTTTGATGATCAAATTTCATATTTTGGATGTCTTGATGAAATATGATTTTTGGGACTTAACTTTGGTCAAAAAGTCAAAGTTTGACTTTTTAGTGTACAATTGACTTTTCTCACCAGTTGACTGAATTTGTCTATCAATCCACTGTTCTCAAGAGATGAATTGAAATATACAATTAGGTCAAAATGATGCTCTCGGATCCTTGAGATCCTCCCCCCCCCCCCCCCCCCCCCTCTTAGGCGCACTTCGTACTTACAAATAATTGAAGTTCAGGGAAGAGAAAATCTTGGGTTGCCTTTCTTTGCATTTGTCTCTGATATAAAACCAAAAAAAAAAGGTTACATAAATAAGGGTTAGATGAAGAAATGATTTTTTCCTAAAAAAATATTTTCAGAAAACAAGCTTTAACCCAAATAATTTTCTGCTTTTACAATTTATCTAATTTTCTGACCTTGACATCCATTACAACCACCTCAAGGTGTCTATACCTTTGCTATTAACGACGCTCCATAGATCAAGAATACGATCAACAAGACGCCATGTTTCTTTTGAATCATTGATACCACCCACAAAATTGAATTTGTGCGACATTGCCTCATGGATATTACGAAACAAAAATAAAACTTGTTAGGGCATGGAGGTGTTTTTCGACTGAAATACAGGTTTAAGAAGAATAACTAAAAAAATGTAACATTTACAATATACTTGGTGAAGGATGTAACTGTGACACTATGTAAGCAAAGCAACTAGGGTTTAAATTGTAATACGTTAGAATCCCAAAAGTCTGTATTTTAACGTGTGAGGAAAATCCAAAAGCAATAAAATATTGTCAGAATCAATGAATACGTTGGATTATATGTGAAGGAAATATCAAAAAAATATAGAAATTTTAAGAAAACTAAATAATTGTTGATATCAAGTAATGGAATTATTGTAATAGACTATAATTATTGTTTAAAATTTAACGAGAAATTATTAGGATTAAATCCATAAAAATGGTTTAAGATATAATATAATTAGGATATAAACGTAATTAAATCAGCTATCATATTGATAGCCGATGAACATTGTTATAAATTATTATAAAAATTAACCTAAAATATCAATCATTAGTTAATCTAGTGGTAATTAACGTTGAATTTGATAGGAAGGACCATTTTCCAATTGCAATTGAGAAAAAGCTGTAATCATAATTTGTTCTAGTTATTGAATATTTAAGTGAAGTGGGCTATGGAAAATTATAATTTTATTTTGTAAAAAAAGAAAAAGAAAAACCATTGTAAATACCATATTGTCCCAACGTGATTGGTTGGTAACCAAAGAAACAAAGCGATAAGATAAACCAAATCAACCCATTTGCAGTTTCTACCATTTCTCAACAATGGAAGCTACTGCATCTCTCTTCACCTTCTCTCTTCCTTCCACCAAAACCCAAACCCGTCAATTCCTAACCCGACCCGTTAACCCATTCACCATACCCTCAAAACCCGTTTTCAAAACCCACCGTTTCCTCCCTACCATCACCGCCGCAATCTCCCGCACAAAGAAAGAAGAAACCGTCGAATCCGTCAGAGACCAGCTCGAAAACTGCTACCTCCTGGCCGGAATCAACTACAAAGGCTTCACCGTGAAACAATTCCAAGACCTCCGAAAATCTCTCCCGGAAACAACGAAACTCATCGTCGCGAAGAACAACTTGGTTTATAAAGCAATTGAAGGAACGCAATTCGAGACGCTGAAGCCGTGTATGAAAGGTATGAACGTGTGGCTGTTTGTTCACACGGAAGAGATTCCGTCTGCTCTAAAGCCTTACAGAGATTTTCAGAAAGAGGAGAAGCTTGAGGAGAACGATTTCACTGGTGCTGTTTTTGAAGGAAAGTTTTATGGGCCTGATGAGTTTAAGACACTTGAAACATTGCCGACTCGGGCGGAGATTTATGCGAATTTGTTGGGGTCTTTGAAAACCCCTGCTTCCAGTTTGGTCACGACGATTCAGGCTCCGGCGAGGGAGCTTCTTATGGTTCTTAAGGCACATATTAAGAATCTTGAAGAAAAGGAACAAGGGAATGCTGTTTCATAGATAAGTTTTTTTCATTTTGTTTGTAACTTTGTTTTATAGTTTTTATGTTACAATATTTCTTTTTGTTTCTTACGTTTGAGTATGTATGTTTGTTTATGTTCATTCTCATATTATGTTTACAAATGTAGATTGTATGATTGATGCTTTGAGGTTCTTTGTAGAATGATTCATTTCTAGTTCATATCATGAGAGAATCCATTTCCATCTAGAACTAGAACATCATTAGGAGGCCTTGTGAAATAACATCAATATGCTAGAAATGTGGGCATTGTTTGTATAATGAAAGAATCAAATCCAAAGAGTCTAATAGGGTTTAAGATAACAAATTCAACACACCATGAAATACTTCGTTGAAAGTCATGAATTGATTGCTGATTCATAAACTGTCAAAGATATTTTCTGGACTCATCATAACACTATTAAATTTCTCAACACTTTTTCGACTATTTTGGTGATAGATTCCATTTATAAAATTACTCTATCCGTTTCAAAATTATTATCGTTTAAAGTTTTTGTACACAAATTAAAGAATGTAACGATGTCATAAGACATTACACTACACTTTTACAAAATTAACTCTATTAATGAATTGAAAATAGTGTAGAGAGTAAAAAATAAATGACACAATTGAAAAAATATTAATCATTACTATATTGAAAAGTTAAAATGACAGTTATTTTGAAACGAATGGAATAATAAATATCGTCTATCGTTACTTGAGTTTGTAGATGCTTCTATTTACATGACAAATTCAATTGCTTTTGCTTATATAATGTGGGAGAATGAATGAAGTGCCATTTGGACTTCGGAGAGGTGGCATGATTTGTTGAAAATTTCAAACAATTCTTCTAATATTATTGTTATTGACTGAGACAATTCTTTGATGAACATTGTTGCCAAAAATGTTAGTAACATATAAATTTACATGTCAGTGAAATATTTCAAATCTAAGGATGAGAAAAAGACCAAATTAACTAAAGTATTGGAACTGTAATGGATGCAGGAGAAATTATATTGGAGTTTGACTAAGAAAAAATATCTTCGGTCTCTCTGCTTGCTCAAGGTTGTATGTGCAAATTTTTTTTAATTTTTGAAAAAATGTGGAAGATGTTATATTGGCACCAGTGAAAGAGAAGGTGGTAAGTGAAGGTAGAGAAAAACATAACAGGGGTTGAATTGAGTTTTAAAAAACGTTTTTTTAGAGATTCTTCTCACAAACAATTAATGATAGACAAATTAGAAAGAAAAGTGACACAATCGGTTTATACAAGTTCATTTTAGGAAAGACTACTCTTGTCCACTAACTAAAGTGATTTTACTTTAAAAAATGACTTAATCCACTAATCTTGAAAGATTATAACAACGTCTAAGAGTTTAGAAAAACATCTTAGCCTTCTCAAGTATACAGACTACAACTTAGTCATTTGAGGAAACAAATTTAGAAAGATTTATAATCAAACAGTTTTTACAATTGTGCTTCTAAAAAGCAGATATAACGCTACAATGAAGAACAAATGTTTACACACAAATATGAGCAACAACTCTTATGTATACGATGATAATACAATAATGAGCAACAACTCTTGTATTATAGAGAATAGAAGTTAACACAAATAATGAGCAACAACTCTTTGTGTTTTGGATTTCTCTTGAATATTTTCTCTCTTTGTTTTCTTTGCACAATAGTTTTTCTTTCTTTCAATACTTCTTTTCCTTTTCAAATTCTTCGTATATATTTGTTATTTTTCAATAAAGTGGTCATCCATTTATATAGGCTGAGAAAGAAGACCGTTGGATAGCAAAAATGTTACTTTCATCTGTCAGCCGCTACACCGGTAGCGTGTGATCGTGAAAGACAAGAGCACAACAAATCTTTAATCCTACATTGCGTTCTTCACAAATAGCGGAAAGGTGTTATAATGTTGTACTGTATTCTTCTTGTGCGAGTTTCTGATCTTTTCTTCTGGTGAGGTACTTCGGATCTGAAGTAGTAAATAGAGTGCAGGAGAAATCATGAATTTGTTCTTTAATCTTCTGATGGAATTATTCTGATGTGAAACGATGTGTACTCCAGAAGATGATTCATTGTAATTTTTCAAAGGTATCAGAATTTTCAGAATCAGAACCTTGTCTTCGGACTTGGAACAATAACTTATCTGACAAACAAATCTTGATACCTGAGCTGAAAGTAAAAGCTTATCCGATGAAGCACAATTTTGATTTCTAAGCTTGTAGCAAAAGCTTACACAAAAATTCTTTTCTTAGAAATCCATCTCAACTTCTGAGCTGAAAGCAAAAGCTTATCTGAGAAGCATATCTTAGTTTCTGATCTGGAGTAAACACAAGTATTCTCTTCTAGCGAACATTCAACATTCTTCCGAACTGCTGAAGTTTCTTGAGAAGTTAATACAGTAGTTCTTCTGATGGTGCCAACACATTTCTGATAATTCTTCAGACAATAACCTTGAGTCAATTATAATGCTTTATCTGCACGCTCAAAGAAACTATTAGAGTACAAAATTGTTACATATAAAACATATTCATTGTTATCATCAAAACTAGATATTAGATGCAGAACCAAATCTTGTTCTAACAATCTTCCCATTTTTGATGATGACAAAATCATGTATTTTGATGAAACAATTTTACAAGGTAATATCATAATGAATATCAGAGTAAGTTTAGAAAAACTCCCCCCTGAGATAAACAAGTTCCCCCTGTGTTAAAAACTCAACAAACTTTAGAAGCGAAAAGGGTTATCAGAGCATTGTTATCATATCTGAGTCTTATTAAAAACATAAGATTCTCTTTATTGCTTATCAGAGCTTGATTTCTCAGAACCTTCTAAGTCTTAGAAGTTCTATATCTAAGTCTGATTTATCAGATCCATAAAAACATTAGAAGTTCTCTATCAGGACCTTATAAGTAGTTAGAACTTGATTCATTTGCTTATCAATGTGTTCTTGAAACAACATTCTCAAAATATTCTTGCATATATGTTTTGTTAGAATGCAAGCAATGAGATTTTAGAGAATTAGATATGTATCGAAATCATCACTATCTTTCTCCCCTTTTTTTGTCATAATAAAAAAATATTCAAAAACTAAGTTAGAAACTTCATATGGGAGAAAAAATTGGCACACTCTGTCTAAAAACAAAGAGATATTCATTGAAAAAGAACTTGTACATAAGAACCAAAAGAAAAGAAAATATATATAAAAAACTTTGAAAGAGGGCAACCTAGAGTGCTTAAAGGTTAGAAGATGAAGGGTTCTTCTGAGCAAGAAGTTGAGACAACATTTTCTTGAATAGAAATAAATGTAGGTAAAGCAAAAAGGTTTTGTTTATTCTCAAAAAAATTTCACTGCTCAAGGTTGATGTTCTCAGAGTCAAACATGACTTGAGATGTATTTGATCAAGACACCTTCTAACTAGTAGAAGTATCAAGGAACAAATATAAATAATATAGAATAATATTTTTCACAAGAGAAGTAAAACACATAAGAGTATTTTCATTCTGGACAAAGTTCCAAGTTTAAATCTTCAGAATGAAATAAAATCTATCATCAACTAAGGGGTTTGTAAAAATATCAACCCATTGATGGTTTGTATCAATAAATTTTAAACTGAGAATCCCTTTCTGAACAAAGTCTATAATAAAGTGATGTTTTATTTCTATGTGCTTTGCTCTAAAGTGTAAAATAAGGTTCTTACTTAAGCATATAACCGTTGTGTTATCACAAAATATAAGAATGTTACCTACGTATATCTGGAAGTCTTTAAGTTGACTTTTCATTCAGAGCATCTGTGTGCTACAAAATGATGCTGATACATATTCTACTTCAGCAATTGATAGTGCAATAGTTGTTTGCCTTTTGCTAGACCAAGAAATGAGATTGTCACCCAGAAACTGACAGTTTTCAGAAGTGCTTTCACATTCTATTTTGTCTCCAGCATAGTCTGCATCACAAAAACCTGATAGCTTGTATTATGATGTTTTCTTATACATCAAGCCAATGTTAGGTGTTCCCTTCAGATACCTTAGGATTCTCTTAACAACTATTAAGTGAGTTTCCCTTGGATCTGGTTGAAAACGAGCACAAAGACATACACTAAATACAATACCTGGACAAGAAGCAGTCAGATAGAGAAGAGAGTCTATCATACCACGATAGAGCTTCTGACGAACCTTTGTGCTTACCTCATCTTTCTCAAGAATGCATGTAGGATGCATATGTGTCTTTGCTAGTTTGTATTTGACTCATCAAATTTATTCAGAAGTTTTTTTGTATATTTGCTTTGAAGAATATATGTAGCTTCTTGTTTACCGTGGAAATTGGTAAACAACCGCTGATCCTCCAAAAGGTTACTTATTTGGTGACTCGCAGGATCGATCAGATTGATTCTAAGACATGGTCGATTTTTGGGGTTTTGACTAAGTTTAATGATGGTTAATTGACAAGAAAATAAAGACTCTTTATGTAAATTGCATGAAGAAAACTTGGTAGAATAAAGGAAAGCTTTAAATAAAGGCTTCGACTGGAAAAGTAAATGAAGAGCAATAAAGTTCTGGAAAATAAATGACTTTGATTAATTAAAATGGTGTTTCACACATACATTCTCAACAATTCTTTCTCTCACACTGGGTACTTGAATCTAAATGAGTGACTTGTATATAATTGTGAACACACGCGAAAAACTACGTGAATAACTAGTATTTATACTAAACACATCTCAAGTAACCGTCGGGCAGTTACGTTGCTTCGAGATGACTCCACTTGGCATGCTCACAACATTCGACGCTCCTGATCTTGGCACGTTGCACTTGGTAACCGCTGGGAACCGTTTTCCCTCCAAACATTTGAATCTCAAACCGTTCCACTCTGAGCATCGAATACCTTTATCGAGAAGCACCTTCGACGTCGAAGGCAACAAGATTCCTACTTAGAAGAAATTCTCCAAGTACCTTGCCATCTTCCGATGAGCACTTCGACAAAATCAGCTGGTCGAAGCCATCCCTCATGATTAATGGTTTATATTAATAAAAACAAGGGTGTCGAATTTAGGAGCCAACAAATTGCCCCCCAAGAATGCCTTATTTCGACGCTGAAAAGAAAAAGGCATTCTTTGAGATTCCACTCGACACCTGTCCTTCATTCTTAGCCACAGATTAACCTGTGCGCTTTTTATCTTCTACCAACCAACTGACAATCCCAAGAAAAAGCCATCATTCCATCTGTACCTAAGACGTCACCTCAGTAAGGCGTTTAGCGTGCCCAATGTCTTTTCACAAATTGTCATCATGACAATTTCCCAAAAATGAGGGTGCACGCTTCACCGTTTCGTTTCTGCAGAACGGCTATGTCAGCGAAGGAGCGCCACGTGTCCCAATATCTTCTGCAACATTAAATGGCCTCGAATTTTGTGATTTCCCAACCACTATAAATAGCACTAGGTACCCATTGTGGGACTTTTTCACGCTATTCTGCATTCAAACCTTATTGTTGAACAAAATCTTCTGCAAACCTGCAAACACTTTGTTCTTCACTCACCTTCAATCTTAACCCAAAAATGGCTTCAGGTTCCTCTAATGCTCTCAGTTCCAACATTCCTTCTAGAACTGCTAAACCAAAAATCTTCTCAACTGTTCCAACAGTTACCTCTACAGGCTTGCGAAGGGTTCCTGAACCCCTGGAAACTGCTGAGCGCGAAGCTTATTCTCATCAACTACTGATTCCGGTTGGATACTCCAACCAGATTTTCGCCATGTCTGGCCCGTTATCCCCATGCATTGATGAATCCACGAAGATCAAGAACTTCTTCCCGGTGCTTGAGGCACTCAAACCTGTTGGGTGCTCCAAAAAGGCTGCAGATGACAACGAAGATCCCGCTAAGGAGAAGATAGATCTTCGCTTCTTCAATAGAGGTGTTAGGGCTTTTAGGTCTAGCCCTAGCCTCACACCAGACTACAGCGCTTGGCTAGAGAAGATGGAAAAAAGCCAAGCTTCGATCTGGAAGAACCTTGGGATTTATGACCTAGTCATGTTGTCGAAGACTGGTCTTAACTACTCCCCTGAGATGCTGATAGCCTCTTTGCTTTTCTGGGATTATACTCATTTCACTTTTCACCTGCCTTGTGGAATGCTAACACCCACGCTTTTCGACGTGGCTGCCATCACCGATCTTCGACCAACTGGGGATTATTTCGACCCAGAGGAAATGTCGGAGGACCAAATTGGGTTCTCAGCTACTAAACCCACCTATACCACCTATATCAACCATTACCATGATAGGTCGACAGCCAATGTGACGGATGTGGAGCACATTGCGTTTCTAGCCCTTTGGCTGTCACGCTTTGTGTTCTGTACAAAGTCTTTACAGGTGACAAAGAAAATGGTCACCCTTGCTACCCAGCTTCACCATGGCCAAAACATTTGTTTGGCAGAATTAATCCTGGCGAATCTGTATGAGTCGATCAGCAGTGGAGCGACTCTGTTAAAGGTCATCGAAAATAGAGCCAGTTTGTTGCTTGCAGGACCCTTTTGGCTACTTCAACTATGGCTAAATGCCACTTTCGAGTCTTTCTTACCTCAGAAAACTCAGATAAATGAGCAAGCTCCTGAGATAGCAAAAAGGCGTATCGAAGGCACCAGACTGGCGTTACTGACTCCGACTGAGGATGGGCTGGAACTCCAACAGACTTTTGCAAACTTCGTCTTGATGTTTGCAAGAAGAAAAGAATTCACCTCGACCATGGCTCCTTTCGCCCGTCGAAAGGTTGGTCCAGAATGGTTCACCAGGCCCCATCCCAAGTCGTCAGGTGACCCTCATGTCGAAGAACACACAATAACGTGGGAAGCATTTCTCACACCCAGAATAATGCCACTGCGTTTTAAGAGTTCCAAGAATCACCTGAGCTTAATCGCTTATCAGCCAAACTTGGTCTCTCGACAGTTTGGTATCATTCAATCACTTCCTTCTCCTATTTTTCCTAGGGAGAAATCAATGTTATATTTTTGCAATGATTATACTGAGGATGCTGCCACCAAGCATATTGGCAGGTACGCTGGTCGAACAGTACTTTCACTGTTCAACTATCAACTTAACTTCCTCTGTTCACCATCCTTCGAAGACTGGTGGAAGAGTTATTATGCTGAAGAGTTCTTCGACGAAAAAGATTTTGTGGACGAACTTCAGAAGT